ATCCGCCGGCCTCTGCTCACTCTAGCCCGCCGTGTGTGATGCTGTGTGTTTCGTTGTGAAAGCGAAATTACTTTGTTTGGCCTTCCAAAAGAGGACACAACTAGAAATCAGTGGTTACGTTGTATTTACAACACTGTTCCAGAACAGTTCAACCCAAATATTCAGATGTGTGCAGCGCATTTTATGGAGGACTGTTTCCTGATTCTGGAAGAGTAGACTACAATGGGTCTGTGCACAAAGGCTGTTTCTATAAAGTGTGGCAGTTCCAACTTTGCTGACTCATAATAGCATTATATCTTCATTACACTGAGTGATAGACAGTTGTTGTATAGAATTAAATGCCATTAACCTTTGAACATTTTCACTGTTCATATGTGTGGGTCATTAATTATAGTGGCACTTGTTGACATATCTCAAAATAATAATTGAATAAGTCTTTGTTATTTATATTTAAATACTATTCAAATTATATATAGACATGCAAAACACACCAGTCATGTTGTCTGAGGAAAGGCCACAAAATAATAAAAGCAGCCACCCAGAACACAATCTGTATGTACCACTACACTCTGACAGATGCTTCTGGGGGATCCAGTCATGAACAAGTATAGATTAAAAAAGTTATACTTTCTACTATACTAGCCATCATTGCCAGGTGTCACGAATTCAGTCCATGGACTTCCGTTTATTCACCACCAGAGGTCACCCTTTCCATTACATTGACTCTCGCACAACACAAACTGTTGCATAGCACCCTGGACTACATATCCCATCATTATTTGCACACTGCACTGATTGCACACAGCTGTTTCTAATCACCTCACTCACTATATAACAGCCACTCTAACCACCTTTCTCTGTTGAGTATTGTTTAGCCTGTACCCCTTTTCCAAGTCTCCGTGTTTTCCTTGTTTTGCCTTGCCTGTTTTCTTGGATTTCTCCCTCTCGTCTCGCCCCTGTGATTCTGTCTGCTGATCAGTGACCTACGCTAGCCCTGGGACTATTCTTGTGTTTTGCCCGCCATATACCTGTTTGCCATTGTTTTGACCCTGCCTGTTTACCACGTCTCTTTAATAAAGCCTGCAGATGGATCCACACGTCTCACATCTCGTCAGCCACGTTACAGTATACATAACTCCAGAATTACTAAACAAATTGAATCCCAACATTCCAGATCAATGTATAAAATGTAATAGATAGGAACTTTATATCATTGTTTATGGAAATGTCCCCAAGTTCAACATTTTTGGGAAAAAGTTTGACTTTTTATCTCTGGTGTTGAAACTAAATGTTTCCAAATGTCCTAATCTCTGTATACTAAATATTTTCCCTGTAAATTGTACTTTAACTAGCTCTGATAAGAAAATGTTGATATTCTGTTTGTTACAAGCAAAACTTATAGTAGCTCGTCATTAGAAAGACATAGAAAGCCCTCATTTTAAACAATGTTTACAATAATTATCTCATTGCTTAGCTCTAGAACAGCTCACATATATTGTTAAGGGAAAGCCTGAACATTTTTTCAAAGTATGGAATCCCTTTATAGGATTTTTGAAAGAAGCTGAGCCAAATCTATTTTCTGTGTAACTTGGCTTAACATGCATCACCTCAGGATATTAATGTACTATTGTTTTGACATGTATGTGTATTGTATGTATGTATGTATGTATATGTACATACACATATATATATATATATGTGTAATTTTTTTATTTAATTGTATTTACTTATTATTATTTTTATTGCATGTTAAATATTAAATGTTACTAAAAAAAAACTGTGTTGGAAATAACCCATTTCTATAGACAAAATGCATATGGAAAATAATGGAAGGCACAGAGTGAGCTGCTGTGGGAAAGGTACATGATCCAAGTTGTCCAAAACATGAAAATTATTTATATTTATAAGCACTTCCCTGTCATGCTTTTGCTATTTAATGCCTTTCACATGTGTTTTCCTCAGCACATACCTTTTTGTAGTTAGAAAGTCCTGCGAACATTTCCATTTTGCAAACAAGTCTTGTTAAACTTCACAGACTTCAATGAACAAGCACTGTTCAAACACTTCCACTATTAAGTCTGTTCACACAAGCCCACCATTAAGTCATCTAGCTATTGCTTAGAATCTTCTTTAAATGCATGTCTATGTTTTTTTTTTTTTCCTCATCGAACATTTTTTCATCAAGCCACATGATTTGAAATATCTCTTATATCCATGGTGTAGGATGAGTCATGCCATAAAAATTACGATTTAGGTTTAAGGCTTTGTTCAACTCAATATCCCTACATAAGCAATGATTACTATATCAAACACAACAAATGAAAACATGGGACATCTGCTGAATTCCTTACCCAGACTCCTCTCCGGTGTGTTTTTCCACAGTGTACACAAGGTCATTGTGAAGGGCGATGAGGTAGCTGATGAGGGCAGTGGAGCATAGGCCCAGACCACGTCTCTGCGGCAGCAGCACCTGCAGGTCAGCGTCCAGACCCAGATCCTCCTGAGTGTATTCAGCCGGCAGCTTTATCTCTCCTGACAGAAGAAGTTTCATTTGTCAACAGAAAACAGAAAACAATGCTCATCTGCCCAAGAAAGGATTCAATAGTAGTCTGAAACAGGGTTAATAAATAGGGGCTGGTTTACCTCTGGTGGCCAGAGATACCCTGAGTTGGTTCCATGTTGACAAGAAGATGTTTATGGACTTATCATACCAAGCCAGTGAAGCTGTCGGTTGAAAATATGGCACTATTAGTGGGTTTGTGGTAAACGTAATCTTTATGTATAGAGAAATGGCATTTGCTTGCATGATTGCTGAACACTTTTGCACTGAAATGGGTAAATTACCCATCAACAAGCTTGCTGAAATTATTAACAACAATTCATTTATCATCAATCAATCATGAACATCCTCACACTGAGCCTGAGATAGGGCTGGACAACTCTGGCCATTGAGATCCATTTCCCTAAAGAGATGAGCTCCAAGCCTGATCAAACTTTCCTGTCTGTAGCTTTATAGTAATCCCGAAGACACAGATTAATTTGTTCCAGTGTGTTTGATTAGGGTTTGAGTGAAACTCTGCAGGAAACTGAATCTAGAGGGCCAGAGTTGTCTACTCCTGCATCAAGACAACACTTAGTAATGGTAAACGACTTCTTCATTCTCTAATATATGGCTAATACCTTCTTTATGGCCATCCAGAAACTCTCCTATGGTTTTGAAGGTTAGGTCTGTCATGTTGTGGAACTTCTTTACCAAATCCCTCTGGAGAACCAAGATGTCAGGAAGGAACCTCACTAGTCGTAACTCTGCTTCCTAAAATAAACAGTTGGTTAACATGACACTAGTCTCAGTCCCAGTTACTCTGACAGACCACCCACATATTGAAAATCAATATAAATGACTCCATGGGCCCCCTGCTTATATGATCACGTGTGAACTTAATATTGAGCACGAAAAATATCCTTTTAGCTGATCAAGCCAATAAATAGTACCAATCAAACCCCGTATTCAGCAGCATTTAGCTCAAAGGACCACTAGTCTCTACAAAAGTAACTTAATAGGAAGCTAATAACACATTACCTTTTACCGGAAAATTCATATTCAAAGTATTAATGCATATAGTATTACACAAAATGTTTAATTAAGTTTATAAATGACTACTAAAAACATTGAATAGACCTACCTCATTAATTATTCAAATAAAACAGCCAATAGCAAGTCTCCAAACAAGTACAGTAGTCTGTAGTTTTGTTTATTAAAATTATTGCATGCAATTTTGATGTAGCATGATGTATAGATAAATCAAGACTTTAGGTTTAAAACACATGATTCCTTAAAAAAAAATATTTAAAAATTCCCTTTGCTCAGCTCTGCATACAATCTTAAAATTACATTTTGGCGGTGACATGCAACAAGTTTAGCCTTCAGCTATTTTAGTGGTGAGTAGGCTAGTGCGCTAATATGTTTCATATTACATATTTTAATTGCTATGTGCTATGTATTGTTTTATTATTATTGTGTTGTTGGTGAATTGAAAAGCTTTAATGTCTAGCCTTACGTACCGCAATTTCGAGAGTAAACCTTAAATTTGTGGACGTAACCCCAAATCTTTGTAGCATGTATGTGGCCTTTGGTTCCCTTAGCAGCATTAAAAACTAATTTTTAATTCAAATTCTGAATGCATTATATATAGCAAAGAAAGTGCGCTCCCTTTATAATCATTAAAAAGCTGTTAAGCTTTGTTTGCTGTAATGAGAGGATTCCCGAGTGTGCTGAACAAAACTCTGGCGATTTGAGCAGTGAGTTAAGTCAACAGATAAGTATGTGATTGGCTACTGTCACGAATCCGGTCCATGAACTTCCATCTGCTAGCCATCAGAGGTCACCCTTTCCAATTTCATTGACTCTCGCACTACACACTGTTGCACATCACCCCGGACAACATTTCCCATCATTCATTGCACTGATTGCACTCAGCACGGATTGCACACAGCTGTTAACACTGATTGAACCCAGCTGT